AGAAAAAAAACCCCAACGCAACCAACGCATCCGAGCCTCCAATTGAATGATGTCCACGTGAAAATCTGCAAATTGAAGGCTTTCAAATTTGTATTGCAGAGGTGTGCGGATTTCGTGTTTCTTACGCTACACCTTATATTTCCAAGAAAGAAGAATTTTCTTACATGATTCAGAATGCATCTAAAAGTACCTCTATTCAAAATGTGTCGTGTCGACGAATGGTAGAAAAAAGAACAAGAACCGTAGGTGAGATACAATTTTCCGAATTTCGTCATTACTTTCATCTGGGAACTTGATCCCTCTTAAAAATTGAAGCATGTGTCATAATTTGGAGGCATATAATGTTATTGTCTTATAATGCACAATGAACCCCTCTCCATCCTCTGACGACTTAACCAAGCCGTCCATACCTTGAAGAATTTCCGCCTTGTAGTCGGATAAAAAGGATTCTTTCAAATCTTTCGGAATTCTATTTATGAATGGATCGATTGCTTGAACAGATTCTGGAAAAGGAGAAAAGATTAAAAGTTTCAAGAAAATATAAAATGGAGTGTAATATGTCTCTATTGATTTGAAAAAAAAAAAAAAAATCGAGGTTGCCCGAATCGAAAAACTTCACGGACGGCAAAGGTCTCACCTTTCCACATAATAGGACAGCAGCAAATCAGGAAATCAGGAGTCAGTTACACAGTACCTTAAGGTGGAACAATCAAAATAATAAAACTATAACACAACTTGAAAAGGCTACCTGCTACTCATTACGAGGTGTTATTAGGAACAAAGAACGCCTAAAAATTCCGAAAAGTGAACCTTAGAGGGAATTCCAAGGTTAGAAGACGATACATCGCGAATGATAACAAAGGCAAAGTTTGTTGGCTCTGTTGCCAGCTTTAGAAAAGATTCATCGCAAAGCCTTAAAAAATCATTAATAATGCATATTATCGCTTGGTGTCACTTAGAAAGTTTTTACGGCGCAAACTAAAAATCGATATTTTAGACCCCAAATAGGTTTTTCCGCTACCGGAAAATTTAAGCGTCCACTTTAAGGTACATTTCCCCTGACTTCATTTAATTTAATTATTTAACTTGCAACTGATGGCTCCAAGCAATTGTGGGTGCCTTGTTACCATATTTTTTCGTAGCGCCATTATTTCCTCTCATCCAATCAGAGACCGTTTTTCATTCTGACGAATGATGACGTTAGGGTGGGCAAGAGAAACACAAATACACACCCACTCCCAAAAATGAAGTCCCTTCATCCAAACTCTAGCCCCTCTTTTTTCATAGCCTTCTCATATTCTTAAGTATAATATCGTAAACTGTCTCTGTAAGTTCTGGTTTACACTTTCGATCTATTTGTTATTTGTCATGTTACTTACTCTCCCCATTTTCCCCATATTATTCTATCATTCTTAAGGTGCAAGAAGGGGTTCAAGCCTTTTGCTACACTTGCATTTTGCACGCAAGTTTAGGCACAATTAATTTTTCTAATAGTGATTTATAATTTTCTCGTTACATGCTACCTGCGTTCGTATTATTAAATTCTGAACTTTATTGCCTGTTCAAAGTACCTTATTGGATGATTGCAAACAATATTTCATACGACTACTTACTCATCAAAGCAGCCATTGATGGAAATTCGTATGTACTATTCTGGAGAGTGCATTTAATGTCCTGGAAATTCAAAGTTTTTGCCAAATGTCGAACTTCAGCGCAAGGGTCCGTTCGACCATGGAAGGGGGACAACATCTTTTTAACGTCCTGGAACAGCGGAATCATTAAGTTAATAGACGCAACCTACATTCCAAGGGAGAAAGAGCAGAATATATAATATAATTTGCACTAATATATAACAAAGTGGTAAAATATAGTGACTGTGTTCATCTATTTTGCGAGGAAAACAAGGCCATAAAGTGCAAAAATTTCAATTAGATTAAAAAAGTTTGAATCCTAATAAAAGGGGGGGGGGGGGTGTATAACGCAGGCAGATGCGTTGGAGTACTAAGCTGAGGTCACGCCGAAAGATATATACGTTTTGGGTACTTTTAGACCTCGTCAGTAACCGTCAGACACTCGTCAGTGAACCCAGCTTAGCATCCCCTAAAATCCTAGACGGCAGACGGCATAGAAACGCCGTCATGACGGCGTTCCAATTAAATAAAATATAAATTAGAAGGAACTAACATCAACATTTGCAGGTATAGTCGAAAATTCCATATCCAACCTCTTTGAAAGGCTTGTCCCACTCTGCTGGGCGGGCTTTACTGCAAGAATCTAAACTGACAGAGTACCTTCAATCCTTCATTTATACTTCGGAGACATCTCATAGACATGAACAGTTGCTCTACAAATCATGCTTAGCACATCACGATATCAAAACTGAAGCACAAAAAATGCTTAATCCTACGCCTGTGCCTGTATGCAACTATTCGTGCCTAAGAGATATCTTCGTAGGGTAAACGATGAATTAAAATCGCTCTACCATTTTAGATCTTAAAGGCCTCGATAAACACGGCGATTAATCGCCGCGATTGAAAGCCGAAAGCCAATAAAGAGCCTTGATTTCGATATATCGACGTCAATGGATCGAAATCAAGCCTCTTCATTGGCTTTCGGCTTTCAATCGCAGCGATTAATCGCCGTGTGTATTGGCCGGATTAAAGGGGGTGGCCACATGGGATGCGGCCCATGGCGGCAAATTTAGGTGGCGGCAAATTTTGCAATTTTTTTTATGTAGATATAAAAAAAATCGGATTTAGGAAAAAACATTATCAATGAGAAAAGGGGACAAAATCTCTCTTTCCTGAGAGTAATGTAATTTCTAATTTTGTCGTTACTCGGTGATACCAGAGACAGCATCTTTAATTAGTCGAGTTAAGAGAGGGACTAAATACGCAATTTGGCCTGGAGCTCAGCGCAGAGAGGAATGATGACGAGGACTTGAGATGAAAAGGAGAAGCCCTCGGCGCGGCGCGGCGGTCGGCATGTAACACATATTAGCGCCTACAAGACTGCATGGATACTTTACGCATTGCGTCAGACACAGTGCGGTCAGCAGCGGTCGGCGGGAAACGCATAGCGCCTACAAGACTCTAGGAATACCTCCCGCATTGCGCCAAATACAGTGCGGTCAGCGCGGAGCGGCGGCGGAAGTTAAAATTATTAAACCACATTTATGTTTGTTCTTTCTTAATTTTTTCGTTCAATGCTTGTAAATGGAAGGTCTTGTCCACAAAGAGATAGGTTTACGGGACTTAACTTTCGCGCAAAGTTCCGTGAACTTTTGCTAGTAGTGTTGACAGGGCTCTCGCAAAACATGTGTCTCGAACGAGTAAACGCGTTATATGCCACCCCGCTGCCTCCGGCACGTTCACTTGATGATTTTCTTGATGTTTCAAAACGAATGAGGAGGGGGCGGCAAAATACAAGGCGGCCCATGGGCGGCAAGTAGGTAAATCCGGCCCTGGTGTATTTAGCGCTTCATAGTAACGCCCGCCGCAGCCGTTCACGCCGCGCATCGCGGCCTCACCTCGGCTCATGAAGCGGCAAGTGCATGCAGGCCCGCCACAAGGGGGGGGGGGGGGGGATACTGGGTCCCTGGGCCCCGGAGAGAGCCCGTGCTGCCCGTGATAAACCACTACGAATTCACATGCAACCCTTATTTCGTAAGGAAAAGTGAAAATTTTACCCTAAAAATTTCGCAAAAGGTGAATAAATTTTCAAAAACACGCCGGGGCACTGTAGAGTTCTTCTTCAATTTTCAAAAAAATATATTTCTTAGAAAATTTCTATCTGTTTCCGAGATTTTTAGTGCAGAAGGATATTTTTAGTAACTGCGTTTCATTTTCTTCGGTCGTCAGATGCTAAGAGTCTCCAGTCTGGGCATCCTCGACTTCAATGGCTCATGGCTCAACTCCCTTGCCATAGACAAACGAAGAGGGAGTCTCGACTTCAATGGCTCATGGCTCAACTCCCTTGCCATAGACAAACGAAGAGGGAGTCCAGGGGGAGCCTGGCCCCCTTAGAATTGAAAATAGTATCACATGTCCCCCCCTCCAAAAAAAAACAAATTCCAGATGTTTTGAATGCAACAATTTGCAAGTATTTTGTGTTGAAAGTAGAAAAAAGCGTAATTATTCCGCAGAAATTGATGGAAAAATTCGTCATGGAAGCTTCAAAATACGTGCAAATAGATTTATAAATTCAAAAATTTCTCGGGGGTGGCCCTCGGATCCCATCCGCCCCCCGTGCTTGGGGCCCGGGCCTTAAAACTGGTACCAGGGCCCGAGATGGGATGTGGTGGGCCCGAGTGCATGGATAGGCAAAACGCCTTCAGTCCCGAGCGTATGCAACACGGACATGGCAACACGGATGGGATATGGCGGTCCTGTTTCCCGTCGAAAAGTACCTCCCGACACCGAATTTCAGAAAAATCCATTGAACAGGAGCCGAGATAGCATTTTAGCCCATGTCCGCCATCTTGGATTTGAGAATTTTAAAAAATTGACTGTAAATTCGAGTTTTCCGTCGAAAAGTACCTCTCGGCACCGAAGTTCAGAAAAATCCATTGAACAGGAGCCGAGATAGCATTTTAAGCCACTTCAGTCATTTCGGATTTTCGAATTTTGAATTTTTACTTTTTGAATTTTGATTTAAAACGCGTGATACCCAAAATCGAAGCTCAGATTCGGATTCCTCGTAAAAAATCGATGCGATTTCATGTATCATACCCTGACACCGAGTTTCAGAAAAATCCATCGACCAGGAGCCGAGATAGCATTTTAAGCCATGTCCGTCATTTCGGATTTTCGAATTTAAAAAATTTGACTTAAAACGCGTGATACCAAAAATCGAAGGTCAGATTCGGATTCCTCGTTAAAAATCGATGCAATTTCATGTATCATACCCGATCATAGCGTGAAGGAAAGAGACGTAACGTAGACATACTGATTCGAGCATATGCATCCAACGTGGCAACATGGGTTGTGCTCAGTGGGTCAGCGGAGGAGGAAGAATAAGAATTTATCGTGAGAAATTCCTCGCGACGAAACCGAACGCTTAGCCGGCGCTTAAGCGGCGCCTCCCCGTTCGGTTTTACTCGGCGACCCGCGCGGCGGCGTAGTTCAAAGGAGAAGTACGACAGAATCATACGCGACGTTAAACCTCTTTCCTTCACGCTATTCTAACATATGATGCATGAAATCGCATCAGTTTTTCACGAGAAATCCGAATCTGAGCTTAGATTTTGGATATTGCGCGTTTTAATCTATTTAAAATCGTAGGAGAAATTACAGAATTGTCCTTGAAAATTGACCATACATTAGTGTTTTTTTATCCCGTTTTTCTTCTGCGTTCACGTAATGAAATTAGACCAACAGTTGACTCATCGACTAGTCTAGCCTAATCCCCCAGAATCGATCTAAAGGGCGAACGATTTTATCAGATAAGATGTGCGGTCCTAGTTTCCGGGCAATTGCGATTTGATGGAAGCTGCGATGAGGAGAAACGGAAGATATGCGAAACTCGGGCGGGTATTAAGTGAAAAACCAGGAAGGGGAAAGCCTTTCTTCCCGAATAGTTTGTGCTCGGGCCAACTTATGTGGTCACTGGAGCATTTTATAGGAGGTTGTGGGAAACTATTTTTNAAAATTGGCAGTATTTTTCTAAATATTCCAGTAAAAGTGGCTATGCCGGCGCGAAGCGCCGGCTCGAGCGAGAAAGTCCCGTGCGGTCCCCGCACCAATCCGCTAAGCGGATGGGGGGGCGAAGCCCCCCAAATGCCGGCGCGAAGCGCCGCGCATAAATTGGCCGGAGGCCAATTTTTTTTGTAGCAACAACCAATTGGATAGCATTTTGGAAAAAGGAACTAAGATCATTTCAATGTTGCTGGGATTGTGCACCTCAGGTACATTCTTTGCAAAAAGTAAACTTTACGACTTTCGTCTTGAATTCATAGTTTACTGGGAGTAGAGATGAAACTAGTTTAGATGATTAGTTTGTACTTTCAAGGTAAAAAAGTTGGACAATCTAAGCGACATTGGAATGCCCTAGGTTCTTTTTTGCAAAATGCAATCCAAGTATAAGAATAGTTCCCATAATAATCTTGATTTTTTTAGGTATTTTTTCAAGGTGAGCTTTCCTCTTGATAGTAGAAGTATAACAGCTTTATGAAAAAAACCTTCATCATTGCCATGCACAATTGGCAGGACCGCCACAAGGAGGGGGGGGGGGTACTGGGTCCCTGGGCCCCGGAGAGAGCCCGTGCTGCCCGTGATAAACCACTACGAATTCACATGCAACCCTTATTTCGTAAGGAAAAGTGAAAAATTTACCCTAAAAATTTCGCCAAAGGTGAATAAATTTTCACAAACGCGCTGGGGCACTGTGAAATTCTTCTTAAATTTTCAAAGAAGTATACTTCTTGAAAAATGTCTATCTGTTTTCAAGATTTTTAGTGCAGAAGGATATTTTTAGTAACTGCGTTTCATTTTCTTCGGTCGTCAGATGCTAAGAGTCTCCAGTCTGGGCATCCTCGACTTCAATGGCTCATGGCTCAACTCCCTTGCCATAGGCAAACGAAGAGGGAGTCCAGGGGGGGCCTGGCCCCCTTAGAATTGAAAATAGTATCATATGTCCCCCCCCCAAAAAAAAAAAAAAAAAAAAAAAAAAAAAAAAATTCCAGATGTTTTGAATGCAACAATTCGTAAGTATTTTGTGTTGAAAGTAGAAAAAAGCGTAATTATTCCGCAGAAATTGATGGAAAAATTCGTCATGGAAGCTTCAAAATACGTGCAAATAGATTTATAAATTCAAAAATTTCTCGGGGGGTGGCCCTCGGTTCCCATCCCCCCCCCCCTGCTAGGGGCCCGGGCCTTAAAACTGGAACCAGGGCCCGAGATGGGATGTGGTGGGCCCGAGTGCATGGATAGGCAAAACGCCTTCAGTCCCGAGCGTATGCAACACGGACATCCGTGGAGCTCGAATAGTTGCATGTAGGAGATAAAATGAAATTTTGCATTGAGTTCGCGCCGCATCCGACACAAACTAAGGACGCTTTGCTTGTTTTTCCCACACCGTAACTTGATTCCAGCGTTGGTTATTGTACCGATGATGGGTACTGTTAACGGATCGCATCTCGACATTGTCAGTTTTCCGAGTAATGCTTTGATTTCATAAATGTATAACAACGTTGCCATATTGAAGTGTGGACTACAGCTACCACCTTTCCTGATCGGAGACTGATGAATACGGCAAAGTCGTTTCACGATCACTTCAGGAAAAATTCAAGCCCGTATCTTAAAATACCTATAATATCCCCCCCCCCCCCCCCCCGCTGAAGAGTTAGAAAAAGTCCGATTAGAAAGAAAACCAATAAAGTCAATTCAGATTTCAGTGCGTTAGGGCTCAAAGCTTGTAGAAAATGTTTCTTACGTTTCTGATTGCGTCAGGATGTTCGAATTGGAGCACCATGTGGAATATTCTATGTGAAAATGAAACGTATGAGTAATTATTGCAACGTTTCAGGCTCTCAGGTCTCCTGAATTAATCGAAGCTCAGAATATGCCCATATAAAAGCAGAAAAATTCACTTACTGTCATGTATTTGCTCCACCTAGGATATGTGGAAATGGTCTCAAAAAGGTTATAGATGGGACTTGTTGCAAGAAACAAGAATAGAATTTCTCCATCCGATTTCAGTAAGTCATGCACATTTTGAAAGGCAACCCTGAAATCAGCATCATCATCATCATCATCATCATCAAAAGAAAAAAAAGAAGGAAAGGGAGAGGAGCCGTATAAACTTGGTCAGAAAATATTTGTAACATTAATTCATGAGATTGAAGTTGAAGAGTTCATTATTTCAAACAAAAAATTAGATCTTTTTTGCATAGGTAATTTAGATAATTAAAATTATAAAAAGCTAATTTTACCTGAAATTCATTTTGAATACATTTTTAAGAGGTCGTGTTCCATTGGATCAATTAAAGCCAATCGGAAAGCCTTTTGAGCCTGAATGTTCAAATGAATGCAAATAATGCAACCACACAACGTGGTCCAAACTGAGCGACGAAGCGTAATTTGCCTTAATTCAAAAGGGTAGGCCAAAATAGATGCTACGTTCAGAAGTAGTTTTGTGTAGATATGACATTCGGCCTGACTATTAACCTGAGAGTCATTTTTGGATTTATAAAATATTTGAAATTTCAACATCGCTAATCAGCAGGTACCCGCGGTATTAATTATTGATGGGGCAGATTAATTTACGAGAGAGGATTTTCAGTCAAAAATTCCTTAGGAGCGCGGGAGAGGGATCTAAAAGTAAACCATTTTGAAATTTGCACTGAAGAACTTCCTTTCAAGGTCAAGAGGAGCGAGAGTCAAAATTTCAAAATCCTGCGCACCTTCAATAAGGGGTAAAAAAATTACGCCTATGTCTAAGATAGGGGCTGTATTCATGGTCTCTGTTTAAGTGGCAACTAAAAAAAAAAGAAAAAAAAGAAGAGAAAAATCAATTTTTTAAGTAACTATTCACGAAATATCTAGTACAACATATTAAATTTGTCTAATTATGAAACAAATAGCTCAAACCTACTTTTTTGTGATTTCACGTTTGATCTGATCTACTTAAAAACAACTTTGTGAAGATTTTACCTTTGATTTTGAATCCAGTGGAATGTCCAAAAAGAATAGATTTGATCAAACTTTCCGAGAGTATCACCTATGTTAATGCCACAGCCTTCAATATTGCACTCTTGAAATTCAATGCGTGGATTTGATTTATAGGTTTCTCTTGCAACCCGAATCATTTCAGGTGAAATGTCCACCCCAACCTGGGAATAGTGTGAAAAATTCGCCTATGTATGTAGGAATGTAGGTATTTATAACAGTAAAAACCTCTTATCGAGCTTGATTGAAGGTTACTTTAATAAATATTGCTGAGCGATTGAAGGTTACTTTAATAAATATAAAAGTAACCTTCAATCAAGCTCGGTAAGGCGTTATTGGTTATAACCATTAATAAACGACTCAGTCAAAAGCTACCACATATAGGTGATGGAGTCAGGCTGAAAAAATACTCCTGGAATGGAATAATAAAATGAGATAACTATCACATAGGAAAGAGACTTCTACATCGTTTGGCGCAAAGAACACCTAAGTATTTCCAGACGTTTTCCGTGGAAAGCACTTCGAAGTTAAAGAACGATGAATTGCAAAGATAAGAATACGCACTGACAGAGTATCCCAGCACTGTTCCTAATTTTAGGAACAATTATTTTCAAACGTTCATCACATTATTCCGTTTAAATGATGACTCCCAATACTTTTGACCTATGTTTCTCACAGTAAAAAAACGTCTAAGGTAAAAAAACGAATAATTGATACTTTAGACCTCAAATCGCCTTTTTCGCTATGCTGGTCAATTTGAGTTTCCACCTTAAGGACCCTCGCGCCCAACTCTATCATGGATATAATTGGTCTACATTTTGTGATTAAGAACTATATATTCTGGCCCGGTTTAAAAACAACGTATGTGCCAGTAGTTTCCCTATGCGCATAAGTGTTTTTTCAGATAAGCCAGAATTTATACATAGTTCTGAATTGCAAAATGCAGTCCAATTAAACACGCTTTTTGCGCTCTTTTCCCTCTTGTATAACATTTCCTCAGATCCCCATTTGAAATAAGCATCGTTCGATGGAACCACCCCCCTCCGAATTTCCATTTATTTTTCCGCAGGAATGGTCCCCGCAAATAGCATGTAATTTGTTTGCATTTTGGTCGTCATGTTTCGCTAGGATGTAGTGCTTTCATCATACGTGACGCATTGTTACACACACCCTGACCAACCTTTCTTTCCGCTGCATGCAGCACACATCGATGGCTACAGTCGAAAAATGTTTATCTAAATCACAACGTTTCATCTTCGATCCGGTTGTATTTGTTTCCGAGCAAAATAAGCAAAATACGCTCTTGAAAATTTCTACGTGAATATTTTCAAAAAAAAACAAGCAGTGAACTCCAACACAATGTGTTGATAAGGCGCGTCATTAACTCGCACATATCAACCCCTTTAGTTTTCATTTACAGAGATTTCAAAATAGGCAAACAGCATAAAAAGAGAATTCACGATCCAACACTGCGAGGTCAAAGACGCACCTTGANAAATTCTGAAATTTCTGAGAAAAAAATGTGGATTTGTTCTAATTTTTAGAATGAAAAAAATCGTGGACAAAGACTTGCAATAGAACAAGTGGCGTTGAACTGTATTTTATTTAATGTTGTTGTGGCTTGATTCCTTTCTGTTAACCTTGGTCTACCTCGAGATCTAGACTAGATTGAATTTTCATTTTCTGCAAAATGGACCACTAGACAAGGTACGAATTCAAGCATTCTGATACATGTTTCACAATCAGAATTTCACGTAGAACACGATTCGCGCAACGAAAATTACTGAAACTAACTCCTGACGAAGATATTAACCTTTTAATTTCACATTGGTTACGCGGATTTTGAACTGCCCGCTCTTACAAGAAACTCAAAGCTCTACGTGAGTCAAATCGCGCACTACAACAGTTTCAGCAAGCCTCTCAATCGAGCACTGTTCATTTCCCACCATGTGTTGTTCAAATTTTAAGCAATTTGCTACAGCTGAGCCAAAGCGTCAAAATTGTGGTTGCCAGATTTTCATATCGCAGAGACTATCACGATAATATTCAACGCGCGATGTGTGCCACGTAGAGCATGAGTTTTATTGAGCGGGTGGTTTGAATTCACGCATCAGGAATCATTAAATATCTTCGTAAGGAGTTGATTTCGGTAATTTTTGTTGTGCGCATCGCGTTCTACGTGACATTTTGGTTAAAAAACATGTATCAGAATGGTTAAATTCGTACCTTGTCTAGTGGTCCATTGTACCCAAAAACCAATTCAATGACGTGAGTGATGAAAAAAAAAAAAAAAACTCAGCAAACCTCACCACCTGGGAATCATCCGGCAAAAATGGGAGAAGCAGCGAGCAAGTTGTGTCACCAGGCCCGCAGCCTATGTCCAGAACCCTTTGGTTTGGCAAGTGTCTCAGCATTGAGCTGTCTGATGCTTTTTTCAGAAGGTTCGCCACATCTCGTCTCTGCATATGATAGTTTGCTTTATAAAGTTTTGGGTCGTCCATGATCTTGGCACTATGTTTAGGCCTATGAATAATTAAAAGAAAATTAATGAGCGCCTTGAATGATAAAATATTTGATGACAAAATGTGAAATTTGCTGCTTCAAGTGCGCTACGCTCGCTTGCGCAGCGATTTATGCCGGAATCACACGCTGAATGTGGGAGCTAAATATGGCTTCAATGTGGAAGTCATCGGCCCGATGCCTGAATTTTGCGCGCGTCGCGCAAAATTCAGCAACGATTCTAAACGACCATGACCTCTGGATCGATGGGCAAGGATGGCGATTAGGTGTCGCAGAGCGCCCGGGCGCGCTGTAAAGCGACTCGAATGTATATATGTTCTAAGCGACCATCGGATGATGTCGGATTCGTCTGGTCTATTCGAGTAGATTAAATACTAATCTGGATGAAAATAACTCGAAATTGCAGAATTTCAGCCGTTGAGCGATGACTGTTGACTTCCATATTCAGCTGCCAAATTCAGCGCGTGATTCCGGCATTAGAGGGCTTCGACCCCCAGGTCACTTGCTTTTAGCTTTAATTTTGGCTTCTTGCTCTCGCGTTTGGTAACTTTTATTTTCCTGGCTCGTCTGCATTCAGCATTAAAACCAATAAATTAAAAAAAAAAAAAAATAAGGAAGGGTGAGGCTGTCAATTTGCGTAATTTTCGAGGGGAGGGACGTAACTTTTTGAAGACAAAACAACTGATCTACCTTAATAAGGATTTTTTTATAAATCCAGAAAGACAACTCTGAATAGAAATGGATTAAGACCATTAAATCAGATAAAAAAATTATTTCTAAACAATGATTCCTGCAGAATGAAAAATAATTTTGTATTGAAAAATTTAAACCAATGCATAAATAATAAGATTAAAAATTTTTGTTAAAAAAACTTTATACATACTTGAAACCTGCTTTCATAGCGCTCGCTGGCTCTATTGGATATCTCCGCTAAAGTATATCATATCCGCCCGCAAATCCCCCCAAGACCAACATTTAAATAATTGAAAACTTCATACCAGATCGACGGTAAAACTACCAAACCACGTATCTCGGTTTGCGACGTCGCAGACTTCCTGTCATACTTTATTTTTTAAATGAAAAACTACTTAACGTCCAGTCTTGAAAATTTCTGTGATTTTTCCTTTTCGTGGGGAGAAAATTCTGTTAAAATTTCAAGGAATGATATTGATTTGGTCTACTTCAAAAAAATAAATTGCGAGCGTAGATGTTTAAACACCGCAAACGAGATACGTGGTTTGGTAATTTCACCGTCGAGATGTAATTATTACCTTTTATAAAAGGTGAGGAAGTTGCTGCTGTGAATATTTTGCAATGAAATCGACTATTCATAAAAAAATAAAAGGGGGCACGTACCTTCTATGGAAAAAACTCGACACTAATTTGTAAGTTAATTGCAAAGAGACAGAAAATAGTCAAATCAGAAATTAGAGGAATATATACAAATGAAGCAAAAATATTAAAAGCGAACACGCAGCTACCTAAATTATTAGTGGCACGTTTCAGCAAGGTACACGCGCACTGAAAATAGCTAGTAGGAAAGGTATAAAGATGGAAAACGCAAACAGAGAATAACACGGGTTCCGTTGACGGTGTAGCAGAGGAGCCAGTTTTAATACTAAGATTCTGTGCCAGGTCAAGAAGTTAGCTTAAGTTGTAAGCCTGCATGTGGACAGGTTATGGATTGGGAGGAAGACTCGGAAAATCAGATGGCGGGGACGACCTTCCACCAACCGACCCTTTTGACCCTTTAACGCTAATAAGTGACAGAGGCTTTCAGTTTCCAGTTTTTTTTTTTTTTTTTTTTTTTTTTTTTTTTTTTTTTTTTTTTTTGCAACCGACACTGCAAAATTTTGCTGAGTTATAAAAAAAAAGAATGAAGAACGAACTATATGCTATTATGAGCAAGAAACAAAGCCATTTATCTTGAGGATTTTAAGTGAAGTTTTTTCGTACATCAAAAAGGCGTACCGGAAGCTTTTCAGCTAGGGACGAACGCAGGAGGGATGACCTACTTTTTTGATAAATCTGAAAGAGAAAGACAAACACTCAATTTATTTTGAGGGCATTCATTTACACGGTGATTCTTGTTCCTACTTTTATCAGTGCTCGAGTTTCAATTACCTGTGACTGCAATTCACTGATTAAATTCTCAGATCACAAGGATCTCTCCATTTTTCGTAATGTGCGTAAATGGTCCGTTTTGGCCTCTTACGTGATCGTCGGATACTTAAAGGTAAGAACCTAATAAAATATATCGTCTCGGTGACTACTGGGAAGAAAACTTCCAATTCGTATTGCGGTCACAATTACGTAAATAATAGCAGCGAGACTCTACCTACGTAACAATCACCAGAATGATGTATTTTACGCAGTTCCTAGTTTTAATTAATTTATGATGGTGGCCGAAATGGGACGATTTCATAAAATGTGTTCTTAAAACAAGCTCATTTTATACGTGCTGAGGTATACACAAAGCACAGGGTGGTCCACACAGCTACCGCGCCAGGCTTTTTTCCTCGCTTATTTTAGGTCCAGGACCGCGGGGAGGAATACGGAATCGGCCCCAAGAAATCCAGATTTTACGGTTCCGGAGTCCTACTGGCCTCNTTTTTTTTCCAGTGTGGAGGGAGTTAAAGGGGGATCCTCACTTGAAAAGTCGGGGTTCACGTCAACATTTTGAAATAATTTATTTCATTGGAATCAGAACATATATTGACACCAAAAGATCCAAAATCATCCCACCCGTGTCCAAAATACTGACCCCTGAAGTTGGAAGGTAGAGTCCCCTCCTTAAAGAGCAGGTCTATATTGAGGAAAGAAGATTTTTCCCTGGGTGATCGACCCCAAGAAATCCAAACTCAAGGGTCCCGTTGCCCCAAGAGGCTTTTCTGATGGGATACAGGGGGACTCCACACTGGTAAAATTAGCGAGTTTAGGGTCCTCCCTGCGCCTCATCAGAAAAGCCTCTGGGGGTAACGATACCATCCAATTCGGTTCACTGAAGGTCGATTACTCATGGTAAGCTAGCAATAAATTTTCATAAAGTCCATGAACCCAAGTTAGATCATAGCTTTCACTTCCGATGAGCGAGATTCAAGGTGAAAGACTCCATAAAACACGGACCAGCGCAGCGCATCCTCTCTGAAGGCCGGGACCACTTTCTTTTTCTTCAGTTTACTTAACCTAGAAGTCGTTGACAGTTAATTTGGATCCTTTAACTTTAACAATGAACCGCGCCTCCCCAGCCCTCCTTCGAAGCTTTAAGGTGATTCGTCAAGCTCAAGTGACGTGGTCGAACTGGCATGCGATATATCGCATCTTTTAGGTAAAAAATCTCGGCAGATTTTGAATTTTTAGCAAAAAAAAGGACGATAGCCCCTGCGCATGAGCCTAAAGAATCATTCTAAACCCAAAAATCGGCAAAATTCAGAGAAATGAAAGCAGAAACTTAGTGTTTGGAAAGGAAACCTCGCATTCGATACAGAAATCGATAGCTGAATCGAATGCGAGGTTTTTTTCCAAACACTATCCTGCTTTCATTTCTCTGAATTTTGCCGATTTTTGGGGTTTAGAATGATTCTTTAGGCTCATGCGCAGGGGCTATCGTCCTTTTTTTTGCTGAAAATTCAAAATCTGCCGCGATTTTTTACCTAAGAGATGCGATATATCGCATGCCAGTTCGACCACTTCTTTTGAGCTTGACGAATCACCTTAAGTCCGTCACAGTAAGCTGGCCTTCTGAGACTTACGGAAGCGAAAATTCCTAGATTCACTTAAGCTTGCAGCTTGGGCCTTTTCTCCACGGGCCGTTTCACGGGATTCCTCCCCGGGAAAAATCCTGTTTACGAAGTCGGAAAAAATACTGAATTTGAGTCGAGCAAAATTTTTCCCAGTGTACCCCTGTGTGTAGTGTGTAGTGTTTCCCTTGTACCCCAGGACCAACTGAGAGAAACACGCCACTCCTATGTCTTTGGCGGTCATCCACGATGCCTCCAGCCTTGAGGTCATGAAATCGTACAAGCTTAGCCAGCCAAACCCTATCCATCCTCACGGCGACGTGGTCGGGCAATATTTTCCTTTGCATCCTGGTCAATTTGTCTGTATCTTGGACCTGGCGCACAGTGGATCGAGTCGATAAGAGAGGACGGACAAAATTCGGAACCTCTAGACGCTTATAACTTCGTTTATACAAAACTTTGAGGTTCTAAAAGTGGTTCCATTAGTTTCCTCGTGAAATTCTCTTCTAGAAGCACGGTTAACATTTAAAATGTGACGAAATAAAAATTAAAATTTCCAATTATGATCAAAAATTTCATGTCCGACCTCTCTAATTGACTCGATCCACCGTGTGGCGTACCTACATCGCGAATCGACTCGTTACGTTGCCTGTCCCGGAGCTTAATGGCTGCTATTTTTCTCAGGGCTCCCTTGATCTGCCCGGTCAAGAACTGCTGTTAAGTGCGCTTCGTTTCTGATCAGGTCTCGGCAGTATACTCAGGCCAACACACACATAATCATCGTTCACAAGTCCCAATTTTGCTTTCTATAGCCATGTGCTAATTTCTCCAGATCATCTCATGGACACATCCAGTGATTTTACTTTTTAATAGAACGGTTTGATAGTAAATTTACCAAAATTGGCAATTTAAAATTTCAAAATGAAGTTCGAAGACTTTAGAGCGTTTCTCACTCTCGTAGGGTAAATCGATTGCAGAGGTAAACTTTTTTCAACGACTGCTCTGGGTTTAATCAAAATCTACGAATAGGACGGCACTCATTATGGAAGTCCTTGATAAGATTTTCAGAATTTTTAATAGAAAAATCGCCGTTTCCAAGTTATGATTACCTACGAAGTATGGACAGAGCTGGGATATGGGAATCGGTCACAGGTGTAATTATTATCAATAAAAAAAGTTTGATAGGGTCGTATTATCTCTGTACGAGTAAACTGTCGAAAAAGATTAGACAGAGGCAGCAAAATATAACATGTCAGACGAGTCTATGAGGGTTTTTTTCTTCTTCTCCTTCTTCTTTTAGAAATTAGTCGTAGGGTTGAATCGAGTAAAATTATGACAATAACAGTAAGTTTAACATGCTTATTTTACTTTAGAATTGAATCTAAAACCAAATGAATCTGCGGGGATGGCATTGCATCAACTTCATTAGGCTCAAAAACATGCAACAAAAACCACCAGGCAAAGTTTCTGAGAAATTACATTTAACAAAATTTAGCTCATAAAGAATCAGAATCTCACTAGGACAGATGAATGAAAATGAAAGATAAAAATTAAGAATATATAGGAATAGGTACATTACTAACTCGTATGAGCTTTTGAAACTTGAGCGCTTAAAAAGTTAACTCGAAAAATGCTGTGCTTAAAGACAACGTTGAAGTGAGATCACGCAAGTCATTCACATTCACTATCAGCAATTTCATACACTTTAATTCAGTTTCATCCAGGAAAAAATTTAAAAAAAAAAAATGAAAAAAAAATGAAAAAAAAATGAACAAACCTGAAAGGTCTTAGTTGTATTATTTTTGATTTTTTATGAGATTCAATTTTATGAGAAGCCATTCCCGCCAAAGTATGATTTACATCACCAGTATTTCCGGAAGTTATGAGTGACAAGGACTAACAATAATTGTCATCGCTACATTGTTCATTGTCATTGCACTTAGTAGCAGTGATCTAAAAGAACAAAATGTCAAAAGCTCCCAAAAAACGATTAAATGTTCTCTTCCGGCTATTTTTTAAAGTAAAATTTAACTCGCCCTGTAAAATTTACCTTACAAAGTCTTTTGAGGAAAGTTGTATTTTTTCTTCTTTTGCATGAGTTTTTCAACAATTTTTTCCAATTAATGCTAGAGCTAAAAAACTACTATTGATATTTTAAGAAATTTTCAACACTTTTTTTTATTTACATTTTACTGAAATTTTGTCCTCGTAAATTTTACTCAAAGAAATAGCCAAGAAAGGTTTCCGTACACGAACATTTCAACTGTTTTTTCAAGAGTATCCACTTACATGCGATGAACCCAAAGTCGCTACCTAAATTCTGAAACTCTTCGCCTCTCTTAATTTAAAAATCTAAATTTTCGTACATACACCCATTTTCAAAATTCTCTGTAAAGACGTTAATAGCCTGTGACGCTGAATGTCTTAAAATATATTAACTAACTAACTAACTAACTAACTAACTAACTATATTTTTATACACAAGTTTTCTTTAACAGTTGTTGCTATATTTTACACGACACAGAAAAAGCGCTCACACTTTAAATTTACAAAATTGGACTAGAGCATTTGAAAGAAAATTTACCTGCGAGAGGAGACACAAACACTCGGGAACTTGAACCAAAAATGACTCAGGAGCCGAGTCAGTGGGGCAGTGGGAGCCGGCGTACCCGTGGATTTAGTAATGTATGCACGTGGTGGAACCATTAGCTTTTTCATATTTCTGTATCGATCGAGAATCAGACCCTTTCCACTGGTTTTCATGGTCCAAGCTTCACTTTCTTTGGTCGTAACAACTTGCTCTTGCTCTTGCTCTTGCTCTTCCTCCGTTCTCGGTTCCTCGCCGTCCATTCGTCGCTTTTCTAACGTGAGGCCGTTCCTCTTGAGCCGTGGAAAGCGTCCAGTTATACGGCCGGCAGGGCTCATTCCTAAGTATAGTTAGGCCTTTACGCCG